AAGATCTGCTCTTGTCCCAGTTGCTGGGAGCTTTTGAGGCCCGATCAGGATGTGACTCCAGAGAGACCCTTGTCACCTTTCCTGAGAATGTCTTCCTGCCCATTCCTGACTGGAGTGGGTTAAGGAAGACTCTGGCTCACTCTAGCTGAAGTGTAAGATCAGGGACCTGCACCCCAGTCAATATTCACACATTGCCTTACCATGGGCTAGTCACGTGTTGTGGCCATGCCAATACCCGCTTCATGCAACAAGGGTGACTATCAAGTGGGCGTGCAGACTCTGGATAAAGGCAACATCATGGTGATGTATGTTCTTTCATACAGCCAAGGAAATCATCAGAATGGAAAGACAACCTAAGGAATGGGGGAAAATATTTACAAACCATATATCGATAAGAGTTAATATCCAAAATATGTAAGGAATTCATGACTCAGTATAACCTGATCAGAAAATGGGCAGAGGCCTGGAATAGACATACGAGTACCAAGGTAGGGCTGTTGGTATGGACACCAACCGAGAAGCTTATGTGCAATGTACACACACCCTCTGATGATTTTAAGGGACAAAATATATGGTATCATCCACCAGGGAATATACCTAATCCAGGGGTGGTATTGGCTCATGAGGACCAAACTACTACTGTGTTATCACTAAATGAAGATTTAACTAAAGCAAAAGCAACAAAAGCAAAAATAAACATGTGGGACTCCGCCGAACCAAAAACCTGCACAGCAAACCAGCAACAAAATGAAAAGGCAACCTCTGGAATGGGAGAAAATATTTGTAAATCAGTGATCTGATAGGGGGCTAATATCCAAAGAAGACAACTCAATATTAAAAAAAAAAATCCAATTAAAAAGTGGGCAGAGGAACTGAATAGATATTTTTCCAAAGAAGATATACGAATGTCTAACAGGTACACGAAAAGGTGCTCAGCATCACTAATCAGGAAAATGCAAATCAAAACCACAATGAGATATCATTTCACACATAGCATAGCTGTTGTCAAAAAGGAGATAGTAAGTGTAGGCAAGGAGGTGGAGGAAAGGGAGCTCTCGTGCACTGTTGGTAGGAATGTAAATTGGTACAGCCACTATGGAAAACAGCATGGAGATTGCTTAAAAAATTAAAAATAGAACTACCCTGTGATCCAACAATATCACTTCAGGATATAATATTCAAAGGAAGTATCCTGAAGAGATGTCCGCACTCCCATGTTCATTGCAGTGTTATTCACAACAGCCAAGATATGGCAACTACGTAAGTGTCTACAGATAGATGAATAAATGAAGAAAATGTGGTTCATATTTGCACAATGGGATAGTACTCAACTGTAAAAATAAGGACTTTCTGCCATTTGCAATAACATGGATGAACTTGGAGGACCTTATGATAATGGAAATGAAACCAGACACAGAAGGACAAATGCCCTCTGATCTCACTTATGTGTAGAATCTTAAAAAGTCAAATTCATTGAACCGGAGAATGGGGAGATGTTGGTCCAAGGATATAAACTTTCAGTTATAAAATGAGTAAGGTCTGGAGATTGAGTGTACAGCATGAGGTCTATAGTTAATAATACTGTATTGTATACTTGAGATTTGCTGAGAGTAGGTCTGAAGTGTTCTCACCACACACAGGCACACAAACAAAATGGTAACTATGTGAGGTGATAAATACATTAACTTGATTGTGGTAAGCATTTCCCAATATGCATGTAGTAAGTCATGTTGAACAATGTAAATATTTACATCAGTCATGCCTCACTAAAGCTGAGGAAACAAATAAAGGCCAAAAGAAAATAAAATATATATTCCTGTCACTTCCCATATTCCGCACGTATTTGAGGGCGTTTCATGCTCCAGAAATGACTAGGGGAGTAGTAGACAACCTTTTTGAAAAGTAGTAGACAACTTTTTGAACTTCATTTTACTCCCCTGGAGAACGAAAACTAATACATACCTCATTGAGACTGTTTCAAAAATTCAACGAAATGGATAGGATGTAAACAAGTTCTTAGAACATGAGCTCTGGGGCTGAGCATCTGCCCTTGACTGGTCTCACCCAGTTCCTGGTTAAGATTGAGCAACACCAGCCCCTGCTGGGTCCAAGGCACTGAATTGTCACCAGCTTGTTTTGTCTTCCTCAGAACCATCTGCCTGGCCTTCAGCACTCCCACCAGCGAGGGCAGACAACACAATGGAAGCAGAAACGGCTTCTCCCAGGGCTCACTTGGTATGATCTGGGCTGCTTAGTTGAGGGAAGCATGCCTCAACCATTACCTAAGGTTGGGTCAGGTGTCCTGTGTGTAGAGGGGACCGGCAAAGATTGGTTTCTCTTCGCCCCCGAAGAAACTTGTGCTATGTTTGTTCCAGTAAAGACACTGAACATTTCCCAGGAGCCACTTGGGCTCATGCCACCCGGCTCCTTGGGAACAGTTTCCTTAAGAATGATTCCAGGTATCCTGCCTTTCTCCCTCCTATGGCTCATGAGCTCAGCACTAGTCCTTCCCAAGCAGCTAAAGCTGGTCCTGACCTGATTAAGCAGAAAAGGAATTAATATATCAAAAGGACATTGGCAGGGCTAGAGAACTAGACCTGACCAGAGGTAAAGCTTCCAGGAATGCTGCCACACTGAGGAAGCCCGCTGATGACAAAGTTGGCACCACCACAGAACTCTAGATGCTGCTGTCTGCATGTCACCTGCCCAGGACGGCCACTGCAGCCAGTGTGGACACTGCTTGCTGCCTGGGGGCACACAATCTTGCAGCCACAGCTGACCCCCAGTCATGTGCTCTTAGTACCACCTACCCTGGAGACACTGATGCCTCTGCAGGCTTTTTCTTCTTGTCTGTCACCTGCATCTCCAAGTCCTGTCCTAGTACCCCCAATCCATGCCCTCCGCCCCAAAAGGCTTCCAGCACAAGTTTTCTAGCTTCCATCTGGGAAAAGCAGGACTCCTAAAGTGGGAAATTTTCCATGCTTCGGAACCTGTGTCCAAAAGAGCCCCGAAGCGTGTGAAATGTCCACTCTGCCTTCTATCCTAGCCCTGTCTCTTCCCACCTGGTGGACCGGGGCCCTGGGCTGGACCTGACATGTTTCTGCAGGGACACGTGCATGAGAAGGCACAAGGGGATTCAGATGCTGCAGTTTGGACAATGAGCACCAACAGATGCAGCCGGGGCTTGGGAACTCCAGAGTTCATTAGGGGAAGGTGTGGGAGCCCTTGGGGAGACCCCTTCTTGACCAGACTCATGGAATGTTAGACCTGGGAAGGCCGTGGGGAGGACATACTGAGGATCGCAAGCTCAAATCCCTACAGGGAGGAGGCAGGCAGTTAATAAATGAGCATGACAAGCTGAGCAAAGGGCATGGAGGGTCTGGAAGAAGGCCGTTTTAGGCAGCAAAATTTTAAAAATGTTTAAAGGTGTGCAAATGTTGGTAAGAGAAAGCAGTTGCTTAGGAGGGGGTGGGGGATGGCAGTTGACTGGACAGGGGCAGGTGGGAACTTTCTGGGGTGATGGAAATATTCTGTATCTTGTTTGGTGGTGGTTACTCTGCGTACACAATTAACAAAATAAACTTGGCCAGATAAATACTTAAGGTCTGTGCATTTATCCTGTAATAATTACACCTCAATTTTTTACTTGGGCAAATTAATACAGTATATCTATAAACCGATCTGGCTCTTAGGCGACCCATTTGCAAACTTCTGTTCTAATCCGACTCCTTTTTCTTACACAGGAGGAATCAGAGCTCCTGGGGGGCGTGGCGTGGGGTGGTTTTTCTCAAGGGCACAGAGGTGGCTCCTCCGCCCGGGAAGGGTGATTGCAGTGTGGTCTAGCAGGCTGCCTCTTACTGCGCAAACTCACTCCCCTGCTTTTGGAGCGGTGCCAGCGGGCCGCGGGGTAACACAGCCTTTCCGTTCGGGGTCCGCAGAGGTTGGACAGACGTCTGTCTCGGCGTGGAGGCCAGCGGGTCACCCAGAGCCCTGGCGGAGAGGAGCGGAAGTGGGTGGAGCGCCGGACCCCGCAACACCAGCCAGGCGCGCAGATAAATCACGGACGCAAACTGCACTGACGTTCGGCGCTGGCACCGTGTGCCAAGTGCCGACGCGGACAGTCAAGTTCTGGGAAGAGGAATCTGATCCGGGCGAGGCGGCGGCGGTGCGGACTGAAACCCACCCGAGGGGGGCGGGGAGGGCTGGGAGCCTGCTCTCCCTGCGGGCGCTTCGGGCACTTACGGAATTCTTACCTGGCCCGCGCCCAGCCCGAGGAGGCACTGGCATCTCCGCTTTACAGGTGAGAGAAGCAAGGCTCTCCGCAGCTCCTCGGAGCAGCGTGAGGACTCAGCTGGGGTTCCAAGCCCTGCTGTCTAACACCAAACCCTTGCCCCTTGCTCTCCTCTACCCAGCTCGAGAAGGTGTCTGCAGGAGTGACCCAAGCACATTACAAAGCACACGACTTCCCAACTTCGGTGAGGCCCTGCCCGCACGCCGGAGGGAACAGGAGGTGGCGGTGCGGGGTAGAGCGGGGCGCGAGGGGTGGGGGTGGGGAAACGCAGAGGCCGCATCCCGGCCGAGCGACCCGCGGGGACCTTCCGGGCGCGCGGAGCCCGGCCCTCCAGCCGGCGCCCGCACTGATTGGCGCTCGCGGTCGGCCTCCAGCTAGCTCACCTGCCCCTCCCAGCCAATCGGGGCCACCAGAATTGGGACTGTCGCGGGGAGCTGGAGGGAGATGCTGCCGGCAGGAGGCTGAGCCGCCCTCCCCGCCGAGTTCCCGCCGGGCCCGCCCCAGCCGCGAGTCCAAGGCGCAGGCTGCGCGCCCCGCGACCCTTCGGCGCCGCGCTTCCCGCCCCGCGCGCTTTCGGGCAGCGGGTCCTGGCCGGGGCGGCTCGGCGCCTTTGCCGGCTGGAACGCGCCCCGACGGCGCCCGGAGCGGCGCGCCGACGCCACCTCCCCGTAGCCCTCCGTCGCGCGCCCGCCCTCGCCGGGAGCCCCCAGTCTGTGCCAGCCCCGGGGAGTGGGTGGGGCCGGCCCGGGGCAGCCCCGCGGAGGCAGGATGTTCACGTCCAAGTCCAACTCGGTGTCGCCCTCGCCGTCCCTGGAGCAGACTGACTCGGACGCGCTGGACATCAGCACCAAAGTGCAGCTCTACGGTGTGCTGTGGAAGCGGCCCTTCGGGAGGCCGTCGGCCAAGTGGTCCCGGCGGTGAGTGCGCCTCCTGCGCCCGGTGAGAACCGCCTGGGGAGGGAGCCCGGGGCCTGAGAACCCTGTACCATTCTCGCTATTACCGTCGGTCTCTGACTTCCTTGGTGACCTTGGCCTCGCCCTATCTCACTCCTACCTTGGCTGTCCCTGGAAGATGTGGATCTCAGCTGGGACCCGGGCCATCCCTGTCGGAGTGCTGGCCCACCTGGGGTGGTACCACTGGCCCGGGGACGCCGGGGATTCCTCTATGGAATGCATCTAAGTCTGAGTGGGGAGGTGGGGCATGGGCCGAAGAGGTCATGGCCGTGGTAAGTGCCCATCTGGGTCAGGTTAGGTCAGACTCTGCCTGGGAGGGAAAGATAGCCATTCAAAGATATCCTCCTGGGATCCCCACGGACAATCCCATCATCTCCACAAGCCCTCCTCTCCCGCACTTCACCCTGTGCTAGCTCCACCGTGGGCTTCTGAAAGACTCCGCCAGGAGAGAGAGGAAGGGTGAGGAAAGGTCTGTGCCTGCCCTTGGTGGCAGTCATGTGGCAACACCTCCAACTCTCCCTTGAACTGATTTTTAGAAATCTGAACCTTAGGGAAAAGTCTGCAGTGCTCCGGCACAGAAGCCCGAGAGGAGGAACTGAGCTGAGGCAGAGATGCGCGGAGACTGAGGGGGCAGGGGAGAGGATGGAGGTCCTGTCCCAGGGATCAATCTGTAGGAAGGGGTGCTAAAGGGGGTCAGAGCAGCCCCAGCCCTGGCTTTCAGTGCAGGCTTCCCTGTCCACAACTCAGAGGGGACTCCCCAGATGCCAGGCAGTAGCCACTTTCCACTTACAAAGGGGCCCAGGAGGTCCAGGAGGAAGGGGCTTCTTACAGGAGGGAGGTATTGGAGGGATGCCTCATAGCCCTGAACTTGCGGGAAGCTCCCCGCGCTGGCTGCAGGAACAATGGGCCATCTTCTGGACAGTTTCCACCCTCAAGCCAATCTCAGTTCTGAGATTTGCTATTAGAATGGTCGCTAGAGCTCAGACCCTGATCCAGCCTCTCCCTGGAGGTGTGACCCTGCAGGGAAAGGAGGAGTGTGTCCAGACTCTCTTTCCCATCTCCCCGGGAGTCTGTCCTGGAGCAGGGCCTCAGATATCCCAGAATCACAGATCGCAGAGATGTGGCAGTGGTTGGTTCTGATGTTCTGTTTTGATGAGTAATATAATATTTCTATAAGACCCGTAGAACAAAAGGATCCATGGAAGGTGTTTCATGATTCACGGAGCTGGTTTCGCCTGCCTTTGTTGGTTCTGCCAGGTTTCTCTCTGGGATTGAGTGGGAGCTAGGTTTCTCTCATTCCTCCAAAATAAAACTTCTCTCTCATCCCCTAAACGGAGGCCCGGGGCAACGCGGAGGGCATCTTCTGGGGGGCTTCCAAGGTTGGGCTAAGGAGCAGTTCCTGGTCTTTAGCAGGGCACCCTGGTGGGGAAAGGGAGTGGGAAGGTTGCTTGTAAATTCAAGTACCATCATCGCAGTGACCCCCATGCCCCTCTATTCTGCCTTCGTTTCTCCCCGCAACTACTGGTCCCACCCCATCCGGTCTGGCTCCTGCCCTGAGTCTGGGTCTCATCCTCCAAGACCTTTCTTGCCAGCCCCTTGCACTTGATCACATCTTTAGTAAATACTAGAGGCCTGTGAACCCCAGGCTCTATCTCCTAGCCCCCCTCACAGTGGTGGGGACCCAGGCCCTGTACCCACAGTTGTTTTCAGGGTTAGGAGGTGTCAGGGGCAAAGGATCCCAGCTCAAAGCCCATTGGGGGCGCCAAGGGAGGCCTGGGAAGCTTTAGCTCCCCCCACCCACCCCATACTCTCCATCAGCAGCCCCCACAGCTGCTCCAAAAACCGAACAGCGTGTGCTCTGTAAATACAGCTTCAGCTTAAGTCCGCCAGCCTCCTTCTGAGGGGGCTGTCACCTCTGTTACCTTCTTTTATAGGAATTCTGGAGCTGCCACTTTACAAAGAGTCCCCCTCCCCTGGGGTTCAGGAAACAACTAACAGCCTACCTGCTGTTTGGGGGTGGAGGAGACCTGATGCTAAGCTTAGCCCCCTCTTGCTTCCCCGCAGGGCCCCCTGGGCCCCAGTTCCCCATTTGTGAAATGGAGTCTGGACTTGAGCTAATTAGTGGCCACAGGAAGGCTTGGGGAGGGGGCAGCCTAGGCCCGCCCCTGCAGAGCCTTGCCATTAAGGCGATCGATCGATGCCCTGGCTGGGGCAGCTAAGGGGAGGGGGCCTGGAAAGGCTCCCGCAGCATCAATAACAGGCAGGATGGAAACAGCGGTGGCCGGCTGGGTTCTATAAAGCCTCTTCTGCTCAGTAGCTCAGGACCCATCTCAGGGCCTTTGCCTCCCAACCATACCCAACCCGAGCAGCCCTGCCCTTCCTGGGGTGGGAAGATGCCCTCAAGCTAAAGGATCCGCTTTCTCCCCAGCAGCTACCAAAGGGGAAAGGAATCAAAACCTTACTTAGAAGAGAGAAGAGAACCTGGGAGAAGTGTCTAGAGGGTAAGGTTGATGACTCAGTGCTCCCTTGTCTGTGAGCAGTGGAGATGCAGAGGCTGTTGGCAAAGACCAGGAGGAAAGGTGCCAAGAGTGCCTCAGCCTCAGCCAGTGTCAGTTGCTGCAGGTCTGGACCCACAGGCAGGCCAGCCCTCCCAGGGTTCAATCCTCTCCCCAGCCTCTAGTCCCTGTCCCAAACCCTTCTGAACAAATGCCAAGGCCCGAGCCCCTGATGAGGAGGGCCCAGTCAATTCCTGCAGCAGGGCCTTCTATAGAGCCCTGGGTTCCTCCTTTCCCCCATATAAGGTGGCTAGTGGGGCGAGCTAAGAGTCACTGTCCACTAAGTGCCAGGAGAACCGTGAGACGGTGGCCCCACTTCCCAGATCTCAGGGCATAACCTGCCTGGGTGTGGAAAGATCGTCTGTGGTCACCGTACCAAAAAGATCTGGGGGAGACTCTATTCCCACAGGGATTTGGGTCTGGGAGTTTCATCAGTGGCCCCGAGTGCTGTTTCCTAGCGATGATGTCACCACGCGGAGCCGGCCCCCAGGCTGAGGGGAAGACCTAGCATGTCAGCGGCACACGCCAGGCTCAGGCTCTCGTGGCAGTGCGACTTGGTCTCGCTTTCTGGCTGACACAGAACTCCGCACAGCTGGCTGCGCGAGGTGTCCCACGGGCACAGCTGTAGTGTTACTGCTCGTCTTCTCCCAGCTGGAAGGTGACTGTGCACTCCTCTTCTGATCATCGACTTGGGTCCTTCAGGCTTCATCTAGTGCCGCAGTGTGGTGGGAGGTGGACAGGGGGCAGCTGAGGATCTCTCCAGATCCTTCGGTCTGTTACCCCTGCCCCTTTTGGAGGTGGTGGCATCCAGATTCCCCTGAGCCCTTAGGTTAAGGAGGTGGGCACCGTCTCACAGCCAAACAATGCAATACCAGCCTTTCATTCCGGCTTCACTGACACGTGATGATTCACGGGAACTTCTTTTTTTTTCTTTTTTTAATTTTTTTTATAAACATATAATGTATTATTAGCCCCAGGGGTACAGGTCTGTGAATCGCCAGGTTTACACACTTCACAGCACTCACCATAGCACAGACCCTCCCCAATGTCCATAACCCTACCACCCTCTCCTGACCCCCCTTCCCCCAGAAACCCTCAGTTTGTTTGTGAGATTAAGAGTTTCTTATGGTTTGTCTCCCTCCCGATCCCATCTTGTTTCATTTATTCTTTTCCTACCCCCCAAGCCCCCCACATTGCATCTCCACATCCTCATATCAGGGAGATCATATGATAGTTGTCTTTCTCCAACTGACTTATTTCGCTAAGCATAATACCCTCTAGTTCCATCCATGTCGTCGCAAAAGGCAAGATTTCATTTTTTTGATAGCTGCATTGTATTCCATTGTATATATATACCACATCTTCTTTATCCATTCATCCGTTGATGGACATCTAGGTTCTTTCCATAGTTTGGCTATTGTAGACATTGCTGCTATAAACATTCGGGTGCATGTGCCCCTTCGGATCACTACGTTTGTATCTTTAGGGTAAATACCCAGTAGTGCAATTGCTGGGTCATAGGGTAGCTCTATTTTCAACTTTTTGAGGAACCTCCATGCTGTTTTCCAGAGTGGCTGCACCAGATTGCATCCCCACCAACTGTGCAGGAGGGTTCCTCACGGGGACTTCTGAAAGGAAGCGGTTACCAGTGCAAACGAGCCGTGCTTCCCTCGGCCCCCAAGCCCAGGAGCTAGGCCTCGTGGCTGCTGACGACCTGTTTGAAAATGGGCCTCCCCGGGGCACCTGGGTGGCTCAGTGGGTTAAAGCCTCTGCCTTCGGCTCAGGTCACGATCCCAGGGTCCTGGGATTGAGCCCCGCATCCGGCTCTCTGCTCAGCGGGAAGCCTGCTTCCTCCTCTCTCTCTGCCTGCCTCTCTGCCTACTTGTGATCTCTCTCTGTCAAATAAATAAATAAAATCTTTAGAAAAAAAAGAAAATGGGCCTCCCCGGAATAGGGGTCAGACCTCAAGCAGGGCCCACGAAGGCAGTTCAGGACTTGGAAATATGAAAGCAACTTCCTTTGAGAGCAGCTCTGGCTGTGCTGGAAAGCAAACCTAGGCTTAGAGGCCGGCGCTCGGAGTTCAGGTCTGGGCCAGCAGGGGACCAGCTGCTGAGCCAGGCCAGGGGCCCTGCCCCATCTCACCTCACGAGCCACTGCAGTGGAGGTGGGTCACGCTGTGGTTTTTCAGCTGTGTTCCGTGGAGGACTCTAGAGATCCCTTGATCGTACCACAATGGGGTGGGGCTCCCAGGCTCTGCCCACTTCTGCCCAGTGCCTCTGCACTCCGATCGGTATTACATAGTAACCTTGTCTTTACTGTATTGTTTGAAGAATTGAGCTACCATTTGTGAAAACTCCCTTGGACTTGATGATGTCTGCGTAAACTCCAACTTGTCATTCCTGGTGCCCT